TTATAGGAGATCTGGAGGAATGAGCACCTAATGGTACAGTAGATGGCTATAATTCAACTTTGCTCAATGAAACAAGAAACAGGGAATGTGTTAGATGAAGTGGGAAGCTCACAACATTCATTTTTCCCAAACTGCAGGCATCATTCAATAAACGTGCCACTTTTAAGAGAGGTGGTCAAATTCAAACTCTGAAATACATTGCTGATAAACACCACTCTCTCACCTAGTAGTTTAAAAATCTATGTTTTGGAAGTAGCACAGGTAAACTGAAAACCATGTAGCCAGTGGCTTAGCATCTCTTAGGGAGAAAGTTTACTGATAAGAGAGACCAAATAACCCAGCCCAATAATTTACATGTGGAATTTCAGCACCATCCTCTATTCAACAGCTCCTTTTCTTGCGGCATCCAAACTGAGCACCATACATACAGTAGCTATCTCTCCAATACTTTGCAAGAAAATATTAACACTGCTTTTTCTCCACACTGCTTTTTTCCCAGGCTGATAGTGATCACTTACCATTAGCTCCACTCCTTCACTCACAGGACAGGGTTGTGTGGTAGAAACGTTGTTATTCCTGTCTTCCTGTCAACTACAAATTAGGAATCAGGATGAGATCAGCTTGTATAAACTGGTCAATTAAAATGAGCTCAATTTATGACTGAAATTTTGAATTGCTAGATGATTGCTAGAAGTATGGTCAAAAATCTTTAGAAGCCACCCCAATTTTTTTTTTTAAAAAAAAGTGTTATGCAGCCAGAAGATCCTGATTGGACTCTACTGGCAAAAAAACAAGTCCCTTTTACATTAAGCAAGAGAATGTTATCCAACATGGACCAAAAACATTGGCGCAAACAGGCTTGTTTGTGTGCAAGGATAAAGCCATGATCTTCATTTATACCATCTACTAGCAACATCCGTTGAACAGTCCTTATCCAGTAAAGCATTATAAAGAATACAGAAGATGGTAGATGAAATCAAGAGCAGTTGTCAAAGCGAATGGCCTGGATAAATTTTCGAGATTTTCAGGAAAAGGAATTCCCAAGGCTGGTGTTAAATGATGTCAATGGCATTAAACTCATGGGTTTATGAGATAAACTAATTAGACTATTCAAATCCAGAAAGCCCACAAGGAGAATCTGTGACATTTGAATTGGCAGAGAATTATTTTGCCAATTATTTGAGGAAATCAACCGTGAATTCACTTTTCACTCTGAAAGATCAGCTGGCATACTCTAAATGAGGATGGAGATTAATTATCAGCATTTCCATGAACAGAAAGGAAGATCGTTCCCTTAACCATACATCTCTGTACATCTCCACCCCAGACCACCCCAATGAGGCCCTTGAAGTGATGTCCCAGTGCCTGGAGGCTGTGCAGATCTGGATGGGGAGAAACAGACTCAGGCTCAACCCAATCAAGACCGAGTGGCTGTGGTTTCCGACATCCCGATATAGTCAGTTGGTGCCATCACTGACTATTGGGGGTGAGTCATTGGCCCCCACGGAGAGGGCTCGCAACTTGGGCATCCTCCTGGACTCACGGCTGTCTTTGGAAGAGCACTTGATGGCCGTGGCCAGGGGGACTTTTTATCAGGTCTGCCTGATTCACCAGTTGCGTCCCTTTCTGGATCGGGGCTTGTTAAATATGGTCACTCATGCTCTCGTTACTTCCCACCTGGACTACTGCAATGCTCTCTACATGGGGCTCCTCTTGAGGAGCACCCGGAGGCTCCAGCTGGTCCAGAATGCGGCCGCACAGGCGGTTATGGGAGCGGCGTGGTGCTCCCATGTGACCCCCCTCCTGCGCGAGCTGCACTAGCTCCCGGTGGTCTTCCGGGTGTGCTTCAAGGTTTTGGTTACCACCTTTAGAGCGCTCCATGGCATCAGACCGGGGTATTTACGAGACCGCCTTCTGCTACCAATAGCCTCTCACCGACCAGTACGCTCCCATAGAGAGGGGCTTCTCAGGGTGCATCGGCCAAACAGTATTGACTGGCAGCCCCCAGGGGAAGAGCCTTCTCTGTGGAGGCACCTACCATCTGGAACGAGCTCCCCCCGGAGATACGGAGCATCCCGGATCTGTGCACGTTTCGTGTGCTCTCAAAATATTTTTATTTCAGCAGGCTGGCCTGGCCTAACTCTCCCTTTTAAATTTTTTAAATCGTTAAATTTGTTTTATAAATTGGGTGTTTTAAATTTGTTTCGGCCAAAAAAAAAATTAATAATTTTAATGGACTTTTAATGTTTGTATTATCTGTATTTTATCTTGGCTGTTCACCATCCTGAGTCCTTTGGGAGTAGGGCGGTATAGAAATTTGATAAATAAATAAATAAATAAATAAATAAATAAATAAATAAATAAATAAATAACCAGCTTTTGAGCATCCAACTTTCAATGTATAAATAAGAGGGAATAGAATAGAATAGAATAGAATAGAATAGAATAGAATAGAATAGAATAGAATAGAATAGAATAGAACAACAGAGTTGGAAGGGACCTTGGAGGTCTTCTAGACCATCCCCTTGCACAGGCAGGAACCCTACACCACTTCATACAAATGATTATCCAACATCTTCTTAAAAACTTCCAGTGTTGGAGCATTCACAACTTCTGCAGGCAAGTTGTTCCACTGATTAATTGTTCTAACTGTCAGAAAATGTCTTCTTAATTCTAAGTTGCTTCTCTCCTTGATTAGTTTCCACTCATTGCTTCTTGTCCTGCCCTCAGGTGCTTTGGAGAATAGCTTGATTCCTTCTTCTTTGTGGCAGCCCCTGAGATATTGAAACACTGCTATCATGTCTCCTCTAGTCCTTCTTTTCATTAAACTAAGTGCCTCATTAAATTAAGTGCTTATTGCAAGTTTTATTCAAACACTTTACCTTATTTTACTGATTTGTACACTCATTTTTGACTGGCTGGACTGTCATCTTCTTGCCCTCATATCTGCATTACAGCATAACACCTATTGGAAGATAAAGTGCAAATAGAATAGCATGTCTACAAAGATGATCAATAGGGCTATTAACCAAAGAAGACCACTGTTTCCTGATCTTCAACAGGAAGCCCATGGCAACAGGACTATTGGATGGAGGTCTAAGAGCCTCAGACGTTCTAAGGAGAACAATGAAAGCTTTGACCCTTTGTAGTTGGGAGCAGTCATTGCAAATCAATTTTAGGGAAAACAAGATTAGATGTTCTGAGATCAAGCAAAAAAAAAATGGCCTAATGGTATATAGTATTGAGCAGGAGGAGTAAAATATTCATATTACTCGTGCTTTTTTAAAAAAACATCCAAAGAAGTTCATTGCCCATCATTTCTTTCTTCTGTTCCAGAAAGGCAGATTATCTCCCACTATAAAAAGATCTAAATAAATAATTCCATAAACAAAAGTGTTTGAGGTCTAAGCAAAAATGGAACTCCTATAAAAATCCCAGCTGGCCTCAAAGATTGATTTTGCTCATTTTCAGGTGTTCAAAATTTTTAAGAAAGTGGTTTCAGATTGGTTGATGACGTGAACCAATGTAGCATAAGACTGATACAAAAGTGCTAGAGAACTGTGTACAAATTACAATTTGTTTCTGATGATTGGCTGAAGCTTAATTCTTTATGCAAATCTTGCTCTTTCTAATGTTAAGAAGTTGTTGCCTAGCAGAAGATGATAGATAGATAGATAGATAGATAGATAGATAGATAGATAGATAGATAGATGGATGATTGGATGGATGGATGGATGGATGGATGGATGGATGGATGGATGGATGATAGATAGATAGATGGTAGATAGATAACAAACAAACAAACAAACAAATAAGTAAATAAGTAAATATAAAATAGTGGTCAGCAAATAATCCACAATGGACGGCAGTCTAAGCCCAACTAGTATCCAGTAGTCATGTGACCAAAGTAATACGTAATAATCACACTGAGTGGGCCAGGACTCATTTTGAAATAGAAAAGCATCTCATATCATATAAGAACATTAATAATATCAAGTCTGTGAAAGAAAATCCTGGTTCTAGATGCATCTGATTCAGCGATCAGTTGATCCAGTGAACTGATCAGGCTTCTTGGCAGTATAGTCAACTCAGAGGTGGGTTTCAGCAGGTTCTGACCAGTTCTGGAGAACCAGTAGCAGAAAGTTTGAGTAGTTCGGAGAACCGGTAAATACAACCTCTGACTGGCCCCACCCCCATCTATTCTCTGCTTCCTGAGTCCCAACTGATTGGAAGGAAATGGGGATCTTGCAGTAACCTTCCTCTGGAGTGGGGAGGGAATGGAGATTTTACAGTATCCTTCTGCTGGAGTGGGGTGGGAATGGAGATTTTATAATATCCTTCCCCTGCCACACCCACCAAGCCACGCCCAACAAGCCATGCCCACAGAACCAGTAGTTCTGGTTGAAAACCACCACTGAGTCAACTTCATAGTAGTTGGAGGTTTTGAAGGGGGCAGAATTATCTGTAGTAATTACCTGTATGGAAAGTCTATATAGAAAGATGAAGGAAATTGATTACACCGATATTAGTTATTTGAAAGATCTATGAAGCAACCCGTTTGAATGTCTTGTTTTGCCAGATCAAGGAAGGATCAACTTAAACAGTATAAAATAATTTTTCTGTGATTGTAAAATAAGATTAGTGCAACTTTTGTCTGCGTGTGGATGTGTATTGGACACCTCAGAGTATGATGATGGAAAAGTTAGAATTTAACCCATAAATATTGCCCTATTTAAAGTCGTAAATTTATTTAAAGATATAAAGGTAGCCTGGGTTCAAGACCCAAGCAATAGTGACAGGGTGAGCTCCCATTCTTGTTGCAACTCCTGCCAATCTAGCAGTTCAAAAGCATGCAAGTGCAAGTAGATAAATAGGCACCAATTCTTGAAATCTTAAAAAAATAGAGTTTGAGGGTATGAGATTTTGCTAAAAATATTTACAACACTGGAATTAAAGATATACATAGCTGGTGATTAGATTTCTCCCTTCCACTCCTGTGGTCACAATATAATCTTTTTTCTTAGCCATTGCTCCATCCTTCTCAGCAACCTGACCAGGGCCTCCTTCATCTGATTGTTCCTCAGACAGTAGATCATGGGGTTGAGAAGGGGCGTAATGGCAGTGTAGAAGACAGTGACTATTTTAGCGGCCTGTGACTGAGTTTCCCCACTTGGAGCTACGTACATTCCTGCCACAGAACCATAGAAAAGGGTCACCACCATGAGATGGAAGGATATGGTGGAGAAGGCTTTCTTTCTGCTGTGTTGGTTAGAAGATTTGATCAATGTGACAATGATAACGCCATAGGAAATAGTTACAAAGATTAAGTTGCCTAATATGATGAAAATATTCATGGAAAAGAGGATAAGTGGAGCATTTCCAAGTGGAAGGCAAGCTAAGGACAGAATCCCTTGATCACACAAAAAGTGGTCAGAGACATTGGAACCACAGAAAGACAGCCTAGAGATCAACGTTATGGGGACAGCATAGACCAAAAAGCCAGCCATCCAGCAACCAGTTACAAGCTTGGAGCAGTTCTTCGGAGACATAATTGTTGGGTAATAGAGTGGGTGGCAGATGGCCAGATAACGATCCAAGGCCATGGCTGAGAGGAAGAAGTCCTCAGTGCTGCCAAGGGAGTAGAAAATGTAGAACTGAATGAAACAGGCTTGGAAGGAGATGATCCCTTGAGGAGAAGCCAGATCGAAGAGCATACGAGGCATCGTAGTGGTCACGTAGCAAATCTCCAGCAGGGAGAAGTTTGCCAAAAAGTTGTACATGGGGAGCTGTGCCAATTGCGCATCTACGCGCACCAGCATGATAATTGTGGCGTTCTCAGCCAAAGTGCTTATGTAGACAATAGTAAAAAAGATAAGGAGGAAGAACCGTTTTTTATTCCCGTCCTCCAAGCCTAGCAAGATGAATTCCTGGACTGTAGTTCCATTGGTCAGCTCCATCTGGAATCAGGAAAAAGAATCAGGATAAAGCATTCTTAACCATTTACAAATATATCTATTTCCGCAAAAGACTTAAAAATGGAATAGAATTACCAAATCAACAAGAAGGAAATGTTCTGGCATTGTTTATCTGATCTAAGGAGTTCCTTAAGTAAATGCTCTTCAAGAAAGTTGAAGAACAAACATCAGGTTAGAGAGAGGAGGCTGGGAACCTTAGAATCTCATCTGTAATTCTAAACAAAAGGCAATCATTCATCAACTTGAAAGATAAAATATAAATTCCTTGTAGTTTCTTCTATCACCGAAGCCTTTTGAATTTTATTAAGTATCATAGAAGTTCAAAAATAATTGCTATGAGTTCTTCATCAACACAACTGTCTAGACCTAAATATTTGACTTCTGTACCAAACTTCAGGTGTTTCATCACAACAATAGCCAAAGTAAACTGTTCCATTTAGCACGGAATGTAGATGAAACATATAGGAGGAGACATATGTTAATAGATACAGCTTTAGAACTGTCCCACTTAACATTACAGCAGGTAGCAGAAGCTAACTTGGAGGACAACACGGTGTGGGTTGGAGATGTTTCCAAAGGAAGCTCCTTTGATTACAACTGAAGCTAGACTCAGAGATGAATATGAAGTGGCCTCATTTTAAAGAACCTTCTTGGATGAGAAGCAAAACTTTTTTTAAAAAAATCAACAAAATCCAGTTGTCCTTTGGAAAAACATATTTGGGACAACCATGACCTGGATAATTGAGAATCTATATAGACATTTCTCCAGAGATCTATTTGATAAGTTTTAGTTCCAAATATGGTTTGATTTTCTTATAAGAGAACTGGGAGAAAGAACACAGTGCTAGATGATTGGGACTTACTGTATTTTTTGGAGTATAAGATACACCGGAGTATAAGACGCACCTATCTTTTTTGGTGAGGAAAAGAAGAAAAAGAAATCTCCCTCTGCCTCTGAGCAATTTTGCCTCGTTGCAGCAAACAGCAAACAGCCTGCTTTACTTTCATTTTCAGCATAGCTTGATTAGCACAAGGAAAAAAAAATCTGTTCCATCAATTTACCTCTTTGCAGCAAGCAGCAGAGCCCTGCGCAAAACAGCTGAGAGCAAAACAGCTGAGAGTCGGGAGGCCAATCCAATCAACTTGTGCTAATTAGGCTGTGCTGAAGCTGAAAGAGCTGTTTTTTCTTGCTTGAAAGGAGGTAACTGCTGCGAAGCAGAGGCCAAAGGATGGGGGCCAGTGGATGGGCGGGGTTACATTCGGTGTATAAGACACACCTAAATTTTCACCCCTTTTAGGGGGAAAAGGTGCATCTTATACTCCAAAAAATACGGTAATTTTGCTCAAGGAAACAGGGAATAGGGAAAGAGCTAGATTAAATGGGGAGCTCACAACATTTGTTTCTTCCGAATTGGAGACACCATTCATGAAACTTGCCACATTTAAGAGTAGTACAATGACACTGTTGTTCAAATTCTTCAGTATATTGATGGTAAATGAATCTTTTTCTCCCAGGAGATTAAAAATCTATAACTTGGATTAAGATGTAACAAAGTTAAACTAATAAACATCCAGTCTGTAGTTCCAGTGGAGACTATCATGAAAGGAGAAACGAACCAGCCCTAGAATTTAGATGTAGAATTTTAGCATCTTCCTCCATGCAACAATCTACTTTAATGAAAAGAAGGACTAGGGGTGACTTGATATCAGTGTTCCAATATCTAAGAGGTTGCCACAGAGAAAAGGGAGCCACCCTATTTTCCAAAGTACCTGAAGGCAGGATAAGAAGCAATAGGTGGAAACTAATCAAGGAGAGAACCTAAAACCAAGGAGAAATTTCCTGACAGAACAATTAATCTGTGGAACTGGATATGGAAAAGAATTTGCCTTCAGAAGTTGTGGATGATCCAACACCGGAGTTTTTAAGAAGAGATTGGAAAACCATTTGTCTGAAAATGGCATAGTGTTTCCTGCTTGAGCAGGGAGTTCGACTAGAAGACCTCCAAGATCCCTTCCAACTTTGTTATTCTGTTATTCTAGTCCAAAGCTAGGAAATGAAACATCACAGCACAATTCCTGGTGCAATTTACCAGCCAAGGAGATGTCTTCATTCTACAATAGTGGCCAAAATTGTGGAAACCTTTTGGGAAAAGTGTATTTTCTAAAACAAGCTAATAACACCACTTTGTTTTGGAGTAGTACCATAAAATTATATATCAATAGAAAGATAATTTAATCAAGAATGTAATGAAGGATTTGCTATTAGAATAGCAGTTACAGTGTAAAGAAGAAAAGTGAAATACATAGAAAAATCAAGATATACAAAAATTATCACCATAGAAAAATTGAGATACACAAAAAATTATCATTATGTCAGTTAATATTTAGTTGGGTAACCTTTAGCATGAATTACAGCCTTACAACATCTTCCCATGGAGTGAACCAAGTCTTCTAGTTCTGCAGCTATTATAATGTGAAACCAAGATTGAAGGATTGCTTCTATTACCTGGATTTTATTGCTGCATCGCTTCTGATTAACAAGTTTCTTTAGTCGGCTCCATAGATTTTGAATTAGGTTAAGGTCTGGGCTGTTCCCAGGCCATTCCAGCAGTGGAATATGATTATCTTGAAACTCAAAAAAAAAAGAAAAGAAAGAAAGTGGTGTTATTAGCCATCAAACCTCAAAAATACACTTTTCCCAAAAGGTTTCCACAATTTTGGCCAGTAATGTAATTGAAAGAGGCTGTAGGAATTGAACAGATCATGGGAAGTAACTTTGGGGACTGGATCTAAACTGAACACCATACAGAGGCATCTCTCTAAAACATTTAAAGTCTGTGGCAAATGTTATTGCTGCTTTCTGTCCAGGTAACAATCACTTACCATTAGTTCTGTATCTTCTCCCAAAGGCAGGGATGTCTGGTGGAGTCCTTGATGTTCCTCTCAACTGAGGAATCAGGCTGAGGCTGCCTTCCATTAAACGGTCAACCAAACTGAGATCAGACACAGTATTACACAGTATTACAAACCAACCTAATGATGAAATATCTTGATGCTATGAGATCCTGACTGGGCCATCCTGGAAGATTAGTAAGTTACTTTTGCAGCAAGCAAGACCATGTCATGCAACATGGATCAAAATATTGGTATGATCAGGATTAGTTGGTTGGAAGGGAGGGAAAAATCATTGTGTATCATTTATAGCATCTGCTGGCAATCCCAGATGAACACGCCTTATCCAGTAGAGCATTATAAATTGTTATTGGTAATTTTTTTAAAAAAATAGAATACAGAAGATTCCAAGAGGCAATCAAGAGCACTTGTAAGAAGGATAACTTGGATAAATAGCAGGAGGAACTCCCTGGCCACCAGTCCTGGGTTTAGAAGGAAAGAATCTAATTAGGAAAATCAAACCTAGAAAGGTTCCCAAAGGAGTTTTAGTGCCTTCTGGATTTGCAGGAAATGTTTATGCCTGGGGGAGAATCCCAGTCATGTTTTTACTCTTCAACTACAAGAAAAAAGAAAAAAAAAAACCTCTTCTGTGTCTAGTTAGTGCAAGGAAGATAATTCCCATAATCTAGGAGTGGGCCATCAATCCAGTGGTGGGTTTCAAAAATTTTTACTACCGGTTCTGTGGGTGTGGCTTGGTGGGCATGGCATGGCATGGTGGGCGTGGCTTGGTGGGCATGGCATGGCTTGGTGGAAGTGGCTTAGTGGGAGTGGCTTGGTGGGCGTGGCAGGAGAAATATAAAATCTTCATTCCCACCTCACTCCAGGGGAAAGTTACTGCAAAATCCCCATTTCCTCCTGATAAACTGGGAGGAAGAGAATAGATGGGGGCAGGGCCAGTTAGAGGTGGTATTTACTGGATCTCCGAACTACTCAAAATTTCCGCTACCGGTTCTCCAGAACTGGTCAGAACCTTCTGAAACCCACCTCTGCATCAATCTATCTACTTCCAACAAGCTCCGTTCAAACATTTGCTAGCCTTAAAACCACAACAAAGTTCTTAGCCCTTTGGCCAAAATAGGATCTAAGCCGAATAGAAAGATTAATATATTTTTACTTATGTAAAGGTAGTCCTTGACTTATGACTACAACTGAATTGTAACAAAATTTCTGTTGCTAAGTGAGACATTTGTTAAGTGACTCTTACCCCATTTCATGACCTTTCTTGTTGTTAAGTGAATCACTGCAGTTGTTAAATTAATATCCCTTTTGTTAAGTGAAACTTGCAGCATCTTCATGGTCACATGGACAACATTCAGAGGCTTGGCAACTGACTCATATTTATGACGGTTGCAGTGTCCCAGGGTCATTCTGGCAAGAAAGATCGTAAAATGGGGCAAAACTCACTTAACAACTCACTTAGCAATAGAAATTTTGGGCTCAATTGTGGTTGTAAGTCAAGGACTATTGCATTAAAGTTCAACTTTCTGAGCATTCTTGCCTCTTGCCTTCGAACTAATTCTTATCAGAATCCACATCCTTGCTTTGTTACTTCAAAGAACTAGGAGCATTGATCAAAGACATGCCTAGCTACTGAAAACATTAGTCAAAGAGGCCCCCTTTTCCTGCTCCCATCATATTTTACCTTATTTTACTGATTTTTATGCTTATCCTGGAAATTTTTAGACTGGCTGAAGACCTGTGCACAATAAAGAAGCAACTAAAGGCTGCAGTATACAAATGCCTTTAGACAAGGGTATTTGGTCTAGTGCAGAGGTCAGCAACCTGTGGCTCTGGAGCCGCATGTGGCTCTTTCACCCCTCTGCTGCAGCTCCCTGTCGCTCAAAATATGTGTCACAACCACCAATATGTGACACCACCGGCACACGATTCATTGAGCTTTTCAACCCCCGGTAGGCCAACCATGGATAAATCCAAGAAAAGAAAAGTTTCAGAAGAAAACAGAATGTTTAATTCAATTACATATGCTAGTTTGTGGCTGCTCAAGAAATAGTCAGGCACGGGAAGGGTTT